TTCTTTTTTTAATGACTCTTTGTGCTTGGAAATTCAGGATCACCAGCCTCCAGCAACCCCTGCAAAGATCAGGCTATGAGTCTGACAAATAAAATCACAACCTCTAAGTGGAATGTACTTGCATATTATCAAGTTTTCTGGAAGTTGGGAATCTATAGTTTTGAGGCACCACATGATTCTGTGAGCTGTATTCAAAACCACAAAGAATGTGATATTACTCCATCTGTCCTATCACCTACTTACAGACATGGTGATTTCTGGAATGTGGGCTCATCTTTCAACATCCTTCCAATCTCATTTCAAATGTTGCCTGATCCAACTATACAATACTTCAAACACAGAACCTCTTGTGCTCCTGAGTAAAACATGATGGATGATGGTGGATGAACCCTTTATTTGACAAATCAAAGTACTTTACTGCTACTATACCTGTACACAGTCCCTCCTATGCTGGACCTCATGAAAAGAGGCTTTGTTGCATTCATTTATGGTTTTGCTGTTTTCATTTAGGTCAATATCATTGCAGTTGTCTTTTAAGTAAGACAATAAAGAAATCTAGCTCATGTTTTCTCTACACAATATATCTGCAGATCATTGCCTAAAAGAGTTGGTGTAAAGGTCTTGCTACAGTGATGATGTTCAGCTTTATATTTAGATTCAAGATAAGATTTCAAGGGCATATAAATTCAACCATAGACGTTTGTGTCAATGTCATAAAATTTAACATGAATATTTTGGAAACACAGAAAGCCAAAAAAAAAATGTCTTTTTAAAGGGAATATAGGTGCTTCTGAAACTCTTTTGTAATAAATGACAATTTTCAGGTTCTCTTTTGAAGGGTTGCCAATATCATTTGCAAAAACCAACAAAACATACTAAATAGAAAGATCTCCCTGGCAGGAAGTTTGGCAAATCATTAAATTCTCCAATGCCTAAGAGGTAATCTGAATTTCAGTCTCAAGGCATTATATTCTCTGGTTCACCATAAGATTAGCACACACAAGACTTAAAAGTATGTTTATGTACTGATGAATGCAGAACATCCTAGGCCTTTTACTTGGAAACCAGATATAGTTTCTAGGATTTTCCAGAGGACATTCTAAAAGAGGAGGCTGCTACTAACACCCAGGGTAGGCAATTTCTAAATTGCTTCCCTTGGGATGGAACTTTCTGTGGATTTTAGGCCCTTAGGACCAAAACCATGAGGCATTTATGAATAGGTGATTTAAGAATTTTAATAAAAGGTACAATAACCCTAAAAATAATATCTTTAATAATTTATGTACTATTAGTAACAATGCATGCATAGTGCCGTGCATTCGTAGTTATTTGGTCATAAAAATTGGTGACTGCAATTATGATATTTACAGTCAACTTATAAAAATACATGTAATTCTGAATGGCAATAGTTAATCCCTAGCTCTAACCACAAGCCTAGAAGGATTAGCTTTATTATGGGAAAGTACGATAGATATCACAAAATGGACAAAGCTCTACACTCTTGAATTCAACATTCAAGAATAACTATGATAGCATTATAAAACTTCCCTTTTCGTCATTATTCCTTTTACCTCACAAGGTAAAACCTAAATTCTGTGGAGAAAAATGTGAATAAAATGGGAAAGAGACACTTACATGATACGACAGAGAAGAATCTTTCTTTCACAGCATATTCATGCACAACCTTCAAAGAGGTTCATGGCCACTGCGAGAATTCATGGTATGACATCTAAATACAACTTTCATTAAAAAGAGTTAAGCATGGTCTAAGGTAGCCCATGATTACCTTTAACCAGAAGAGGTTACGAATCTAACTTGTAGCTGAGTTATTTTTTTTTTTCCTGTAATTTAGGCGAGTACCTCTTTGAAGCTTTAGTAACATAATGAAGAGTGGAGCTTATGGAACTTTCTAATTCAAATTTAAATTCTGATAGAAGAGTACAAATCTACATTCCAGCTTAAATACAGCAAAGAAGTGTTTTTTGAAAACTTTAAGATCTCTCACTTTAAGGGAAAATATGTTCCAATTAAATAAAATATACCACAAGTCTGACATATTTCCCACAGATCTCCTCTAGAAGTTGATTGGTCACTAGTCAACAACAGATCAGTTCCTAATTTGAACACCATCAGTAATTCATAAAGCAAAGGTAGTCAACTTGAAAAACTAGGGGTAGCAAACTACCAAAAAAGGCTGAGATTGGGGGTTACCTGCAAATCATGATTTTATATTTTAGGATGTGTTTTAGCATTTAGTAATAAAATTCTTGGGGATATCTGTTTCACAGTGAGGTTGGCAGGTCAGATGGTGCTCAGTTAGATTCTTCTTGGCTTAAATTACTTTCTAGGACTGAGTTAAAGCATTTTGGGTGGTATATTAACTCTTCCAGAACAAGAAATTCCATTTCAGTAAATTATTGCTACAGTTTACTAAAGAGTATCATGGTGTCCTGGAAAAGATAATGTTCCTTCCAAAATGCTCTCTAGTTAGTTGAACAATGAGAAATTCATATTTATTTTAGACATTTTGATTCTTGAAGATATAAACTAAAAAAGAACTATTTTCCCTACTCATATTGAGGCTACCTAGATAGAGACATGATATTAACACTGCCCTGATACCATTATTCCCATATGCATTAGACAACTGGAAGATTTGATTTTTTTTCTTTGTAAATTAACCCGCCAATCTTCTTTTCATGTGGAAAGATCTATGGTAACACCACCACCACCAACAACAGCAACAAAAACCTGATCCAAATAAGCAGGCTTTTAAAACACAGGTGAATGAATGAAGTATGGCACACCATGGAAAGAAATAGAGTGATGGAATTTCTAGGTGATTACCCTCCATTTTTGGGAAGAATTGCAAAAACAAACAAACAAAAAATCCCAAAACAGAAAAATGAGCAATCCAAAACTTCACAAATGACAGATTATCTGTAAAAGAGAGATCCTCCGCAACCCCCACACTAATCTAAAATCAAAACCCAAACCAAAAAACTAAGAAACTTCTATTTCAGATATGAAATCATGGTCTGAAGGCTACTAGTAACAAAATACCCGTTCATCCAAGCACAGTTGTTTATGTGGCAAAAACGTAGGGATGTCAGAGGCATGACTTTACAAATAATGTAAAAACAATAACCCAATGGTTATGAGCAATTATTTTCCATACTCAAATTTATAGATATTGTACTCAAGTTGACACAATAGAGAACACATGGGTAATTTCTGCTAGAAACTGAATAGGCTCAAGGTAGGACAAAACAAATTCCATTCAGTAAATAAAATTTTACTTAAATGATTTTAATTTTGCAGTCTGTCCCCTTTTCCCTTTATATTTTAGTAAACTCCTTATTTGTAAAAGTACACTTGTTTTCTTACTTCTTTAATCTATCAATTTCATTTCCAAAGACTATAACCAGAATGGAATGCTTTGTAGCTATTCTTTTTAACTTAACAGAATCCAGGAGTTCTATTATTTTAATTTATTTTTAGGTACTAATATTTTTAATTTGATTAAAACATATAACCAAAGTTGATGGAAAACGGTAGTAACTTTCTTCTAGGTAAAATAGCTTACTAGCAGATTTTATAATCATTGGACTTTGTTCTGTCCTACCTGGAAATAATTTGTTACCATTTGTGATGGAAAAAGGCATTTTCTAGTCATTTTCTGTGACAGGAAGCAGAGCATTAATCCAAGTAAGCACCCAACAGATTGAGTCTATCAGCTATGGAGCAGTTTTAACTTTAACTCAATGAAAACATTTACCTCAGTACTTTTTTTGAGAAAGACTTCAGCAGTAGTTAGAGTTAACATGACACCTGTGGAGGGCTGTAATCACCTTAGGAGTGGACCAGTTGAGGAGCACTTTCCAGGTAATGAGAACAATGACATCACAAGAAGCTACAACATGATATTGCAGTAATTATAGTGACCACTACTATAGTAATTGTGGCCTGGGTTAATGTTCCAAATATTAATGCAAGGAACACACTAGAGTTTATAAAATTAGACTACTTTCCTTACACTAAGAACCAGTTGATGGTACATGACGAGTGGTGATGGTCCATTTTATTCTATTTCATACTACGACAACGACAAGTTTCCTAGTTACATTTCCTTTCTCTTAACTATCTATATTCCACAGCAGTATGTTTTCATCATCTAAAATAAGAATGCTATAACTATGGAATACCCCAACACACACACACACACACACACACACACACACACACACACACACAGAGACTTACACATTTGTGCACCATTATACACATATATATCGACAGTATGTGCAAAGTACTCATTTGCAGTTTGGTGTGCTCTCTTAAAAGTCATGTCAGCCTTCCAAATACAGAGCACTATTAAAAGCCATAAAAGAGCCACAGCAACTATTTATTTCTAACATAAAACTTTAAACCAGGTCTATGGGGTAATTAAGTCAATGCTTTTTTTGTGTGAAGTCATCCAAAGCAAAAGTATCAATGACTGACAGTATGATGAGTATAATCGAATGAACTTACATCTCTGTTTATTTTGCTTATCTCACAGTTGAATAACACTCTTACTGCTCAGACACTTGAGTTGAATTTTAATGGCTATTAATGAGTCTATATATTTGGCCAAGGTTGATTTGACTTTCTAGAGAAAGGTCAGCCTATCTGCAAACGGATACCTTCCTCCAAACAAACGTCAATGTACACTAGAGACAAGTCTACGTATATGTATATATGGTATATATACATATATATATGTACACATGAAGTGAATTGGGAAGTCCTTTGGTTTAGACAAGATTAAATATGTACTTCCCAAATGCATAGGTTTCCTTTGACCAACCTGCTCAAGAAACAAACGTGAAAAGTGCCATGGCAATTTGGACATTTTCTATGTCTTTTCTTCTAACTTGAGGACGCCTTTCCTCTCTTCTCCAACTCTTCTGAGCATTTTATTTTAAAAGCAGTTGTTTCTTTTGGCCTTCCATCTCCATCGATTCATTCATTCCTTGGAAGAATCTAAGCTCATGTCCAGAAACTCATCTTTAGTGGAGAACAAGGTTGAAAAGAACTCCCCCCCTTTTATTCCCTCTTTTCCCTAAGAATCAGACACCTTGATGTGTCATGAATAATGCAGTCTCGATCTGACTTGCCTTGTTACCCCTGGCCAGCCCAAGCAGCTGAGGTCTGAGCTTTACTCGCCCTGCATTGTTGTGCAATACTGGAAAATAAAAACAATCCATGGTCTCTACCCCTCAGACTGTGGTGACGTGATCAGGGTTCTCTTGAATTTCTATGCATTCAATTTCCTCTCTCTCCTTTCGTTTGGCACGTTTCTTTTTCTTGTGGTGCTTTTTGGAAGGGGGGAAAAAGGTTAGAAACACAGGTAAAATAACAAAACAGTGCAGAAGTGTGCAACCCCCAGTGAGCAGCAAGCATTTGAACAGTGTGAAGGTCAGGTTCGAAGGCACAAATAGGAGGGGGACCAACCCAATAAGAAAAGAAGTAATATTTTGCAAAATGGCTGTCCCATGCTCTTGAAGGGAGCTTTTTATACATTGTGTTCGGGTGTGCTCAGTTGCTAATACAAATGTGTAAAGCAGTGGTGCACAGTGGTCAATGGCGAAATTCAAGGTGTAGATAAGGCACAAGATAGAAATGCAATCCATGTTGACATTCCATAATGTCATTAAGCCCAGAACGCCCAGCTCGATTGAGGTGACGCTAAGAATTAGCCAGAAGTTTCCCAGAGGGTGGATCACTAGGAAAAAAGTCAGGATTAATACCAGGAGAACACCAAAGCCTGCAATCAGAACAGGCACTGTGACAGACAAGCTGTAGTGGTCCATGAAAACAAAGGAGGGGTTGAACACAATGAATCGGATGCTCTTTGAGAGGGATAGGGGTCTCAACTTTTCCAACACTTCTATGACTTCCTTCTGCTTGTCCCTGCTAGTCCTGGCTACCAGATACAAGCGAGAAGCAATGATGTTGTTTTCATCCCCTGCCTTGGAGAAGATGATATCGTTTCGAAAATGCTGGAATTCTGGCTTTTTTAAAAATGAACTTTGTAGGACACTGATGAAGTCACTTTTGTTATTGGCACTGATGTTGCTGACTTTCAGAAACTGGTAGTACTGCTCCACCCAGGACACTGCAGTGAATCCACTACAGAGTCTTCGTAGGTCCTCCTGGACGCTGCTGTTCCAGTACTCGAGGGGCTCATAGACATAGAATCCTATCACGGGGCTATAGTTGCTGAAATATTTTTGCTGAACCATGGCAAAGGAAACGCTTGGGGAATCACTGGCTAGTAGATTGATGATGTTGGCTCCATCACTGATCTGTAAGCACCCCATGAAGGAGAAGGAGGCGTAAATGAGATAGAGGATGACCACAAATGGCTTCACGTATATATTGGTAATCCATTCATTGTAATGTTCACGGAGGAAGTGCTGAATGAAGTGGTGCTGGTAGGGGTTTGTCTCATGATGGGATGTCTGTTGATGCCCATCACTCATCACTGTCTGGAACCACACGGGTTTGCGATCCAGGTATTCTGCAGAAGGGATCTTACAGCAAAAGATGCTGTGGTAGCGGTTTTGCTCTAGTTGGCCAGCGAAGACCAGACAGGAGCCAAAGAAGGAGAAAATGTAGAAGTAGTTCAACAGAATGGAGACGCACATGTTTTGACAGAAGACCTTCACAGCCTCTATGTTTGTGAATGGGCTGGCACCCATGCCAAAGGTGATGAAGTACAGGGAGCTGGTCATGGTATAGGTGACCATCACATCAGAATAGGCATCTGCTATCCTGTCTTTGAAGGGCAGATTCTCTTTGGTTCTCCGCCATCCAGACAGAAGTTCAAATACTCCTTTAGTTCCATGACCTAATGTTAAAAAAAAGAAAAATAATAATTGTTTCTATTTTTTCCTATTTGGATGAATTCCTTATAGTTTGTCTGTGATAAATAATACTTTATAATCTTCGGAGTGCTATGATCCTATCAGAGTCTCAGCATTTGAATTACAAACGAAATATATTTGGTCCCTGTTTCACTTTAGGAAAGCCCAACTTTGTTGATATTCTGGGCACGATGAAACATTTATTGTCTGTTCTAGTTATCTGACAAGTTGTAAATGCAATGTTACATTATTACAAGAATCCCCCCCAACACACATTGTCTTCCTGAATGAGTCATAAGCTGTCAAGGGCAGGAGCTGTTATTTGTGCATTTTCAAATATCTCTCAACATCACTTCAAGTGCTTGGTCAACTGATTCACTGACTGACAGTCCCTAACTTCCATTTCATGCTGATTTATATGAAAATTTGGGAAATTATAAGATAATGTTAAATATTTAAAAATGGCTTTAAATCGATTTTATAATGTTAATAATCTGCTTGGTGGCCAAATGGCTTAGAAAACAATTTCCATAGATTTGATTAATTAACTTTGGGTGTGAGTCAAAAAATTCTGCCAGGTCACATAAAAGACAGGGCAAGACCTTCAGGATGAGAGACCCCAGCAAGTAATTCTTTTGGGGCTCCTCAGAGAGAGAGAGCTTTTATTCACAGAGTGGAGATATTAAATGCTCGTGACTGCTTCATTAAAGTAGATGAAAAATGCTTCTTTTAAATCAACTTTTGTGTACCTTTTTGAAAGAGTAATTAGGCAAAAAATTGATTAGAAAAGGATTACTAGAACACCCACTATGTGCTACTGAGCTGTTATTTTCAGGAATTTGACAGCTTTTAAGATACAACTGCTTTCTTACTAGCAAAAGAAGAAAGCAGCCGAGAAAGCAAAGTTATTGTACGATATCCACAGTTTTCCTTAAAAAACATCCCTGAATTGAACCTGTCAATTATCATCCTCAACATATCAATTGGTAACTCTCTGAGTGAGTGGAAATCTTCATAGGTCACTCTTGCCCTTGTGGGTGTAACAATACTACACAGGAATCTTTTCTGTGAATGGATACAAGCTGTGCTTGGGCTGTTCTCCAAGAATTCCATTAGAGAAAGATGTAGCGTAAAGGCACAGAATGACCTAGTTCACGAAAACCTGGAAAATGGACTTTTGTGTGGTACTTAGATATTGAAGTTAGGTGTTATAAACTCAGTTTATTTAGTAGTGCTTTAACAAAACTAAAGAGGATTTTACTGCAATCACTTTGAATTTGTGCTGCTGATAGATTTTGCTAATCGGTCTACCTAATTCTTCTTCTTCCTTACTTTTATTTGAGAAAGCCTATGTATAGAATTAAAAACTATTTTCCAGCCTGCTTTTCAGTGAGGGGTGGTTCATGTGACATAGTTCTGGATAATGCAGTGTAACTGAAAGTCACCTAAGTGAGGTTAGCGAGTGTAGCTTAGACATAGATAGATGAGTTTCTTGCAGGCAGGTCTAAATTAAAATAGGGTAAGCATTCAGACATCTTCCTTATTAGTACATGACCTTCACACAACCAACCAGGCATACCAGACCTGACCACCTTTTGGGCTGGAGTGCAGGCTTAGTACAGTAAATCACAAAAACAATAAGGGATTGCCTAAAACACAGAATGTTCTAAGAAAAGCCAAAATCTGGTTAGACAGCAACTTCAATTATTTAGGTCCTTGTGACCTTAAAAGATTGAGAAATGGCAATCAGAACTCATGACCAGATACCTTAAGCCATCTTCTCTCTGCTCCTGGATTGCTTAATCATCATTGTAAAAGTATATAAAGCTTCTTGTCAAAGGCAAGCACATGTCTTTTCTCTTAAGGCACCAAGCTTTTCCTTGAGCACATCCTTTACTTTTTAATAAATTCTTTCTTAAACTGTATTTGGATTCACTCTGAAATTCCTTTCTGTGTGAAGTCAAAGAACCCATAGAGCAACATATCACACACCACCTAGCATCATCAGGATGTTTATTAGAAAACCAAATGTATCATGTAGTCACCCACAAAAGCCCTTGTCTGCCTTCCTTCAGAGTTTTCTTTTAAGAAAACCAAATCTGCATTTGGCTAAACCACTATAAGTAAGGCTTTTACATGCAGCTGAATCCATTCCTAACCAACGATGTTTTATAGGTGAGTTAACATTTACCAAAACCTTTTTAATGGAGATCTAAAGATTCTTGCTTCATAGTTAATTTGAATAGTATTCGCAGATTTAAATGTATATGATGCTAATCTTTTATTTTAGGGACACATTGACCAACTTTTTGGGAGTTGTTATTAATTATTCATTATTACTAAAGAGAGCTTGGCATTGAAGTTCTTTTTATCTAAAATATAAGACCAATTTATTCTTTGAGGTCTCTGTTCTGGGTCTCCAGTCAGGAAAGATAACATTAGGCTAACAAGCAGAAAGGGTTATGAAAACTGCATTTAAATAAAAGGCAAGTTTTAGAAAACATTTTCTTGGAGGCAATAATCTATTTCTTCTTGCATTTTTATCATGAGCTCAACACCAACATATATATATTAAATTATGTCTGAGCCGGGCTCGGTGGCTCAGCCTATAATCTCGCGCCTTTGGGAGGCTGAGGTGAGTGGATTGTCTGAGCCCGTGGGCTCAAGACCCGCCTGGGCAGCGAGACCTCATCTCTACAATAAATCAAAAAAATCAGCCCGGCGTAGTAGCGCATGCCTGTAATTCCGGCTACTCGCAAGGCTGAGGCTGAAGGATCGCCGGAGCCCAGCAGGTCGAGGCTGCGGTAGCCAGGAGCGGCCACTGCACTCCAATCTGGGCGATAGAGTGAGACTCCAACTCAAAAAAAAAAAAAAAATTATGTCTAAAGATTCTTAACAGACTACATTGATTGTTCATTCCTATCTTCTGCAAGACTCCTTGACCAGACAGAATGCAGTACTTTCTCTCATTCCTTTGACAAAAACATAATATTAGGAAAATGACTAAAGAAATTAAGATAATTACTTAATTAGAGCACCTTTCTTCAGAAATGAGAACTCTCGCTATCTCTGTAGTCACAAAGAGGGAAAGACTACAGGGCTACAGCTAAATTTGGCTTGTCTTTCCTCATGGTCATTTTTATGGAACATTAGGTACACTATGTAGGCCAGACTTTTGCTTTATGTTGTACAAAGATGTGTAGGTGTGGGGGGATAATGCTAAACCATATTAGATTAAGTAATCACTTTGTGTGATAGAAACCTGAACACATAATTTCCAAACTTTGTTTGGAGATGGCATGTTTTATCTTATTCATAGGTTTAGATATTTTACAGGATGTTCTTACTGATATTCACTCAATTGATTCTCATGATGATTTGACCACTTGCTAGTAGTTTAAATTTGCTTTCCATCTCAGCCAGGATTGTCTCCTCACTGCCCTATGAATATGTCCAGGATCAATCTTTTCTTCTTAGCTTTGTTCATATTATTTTCTCTGCTTTACAATAACTTCCTCTCATTGTTGGTTATATTATGATTCTATTCACTGGTCTCTTAAGGGTCAGTTCAATTCTTATATTTGTCATGAAGTATCTTTGATGATTCCAGACATATTGATTTTTTTGTTTTGTTCCTTAGCCTCTTACTGTACTAATTAGTTACTCACTTAAGCCCTCAACCATGCACTGCTTTGTTCTGTGACAAAATGGTTTTCTCAGGATATGTTGTATTGCTTGGTTAACTTGCAAATTCTTCATGGTTAGGGAATACATTTTATGTTACTTTTATGCTCTGCAGAATATTAGGTAAAGTGATAGATGCCTAAAAGATGCCCATTGACCTCTTATTAAATTAAATCAACTGTAATTCTTGATTCTAGGTGGATTCAAAAGATGAATCTTTTTTATTATTCAAAAATTTGTTATGCATTTTTATTCCTACATCAATGTCAGTTGTGTCCAGAAGAGCTATACACTATTTAATTCAATTCAACCCAGTGTATATTTATTTAGGATTTGTTACATATAAGGATGTTTATGTCATATATAGCCAATATATAAGACATAAAGGTAAGCAAGAAATAGAATTTTTTAAAAAACACCAGTCAATGTAGAATGTCATTTTTAAATTTTGAGTTGGAGTCTCACTCTTGTCGCCCAGGTTGGAGTGCAGTGGCATGCTCATGGCCACCACAGCCTCGACCTGCTGGGCTTAGGCGATCCTTCCAACTCAGCCTTCCAAGTAGCTGGAACTACAGACACAAGCCACTATGCCCGGCTAGTTTTTGCGATTTATTGTAGAAAGGAGGTCTCACAAAGTTACCCAGGCTGGCTTTGAACCCCTGGGTTCAGGCAATCCTCTCGCCTCAACCTCCCAAAGTGCTGGGATTACAGGCTGAGCCACTGTACCTGGCCCAGAAGTTCATTTTTTACTTAGGTAATTCTGAGACAGAGAACATATCTTCTAATGCAACCCCAAAAAAAAAAATATTTACATGAAAAACAATGTTGTCACTTGCAACAAAGCTATCTATACTTCTCTAAAAATAAAGAAGCAGGGGCATGAGTTAAGAAGAGAACATGCCAAATTGATTTACTTTTTGTAGGTTATTACTTCTAGTGTCATTAATGATAATGTATACTGTTGTGAAAACAGCTTATTTATTTTGAGCCCCTGGTAATTCATTTACAATGTCTTTATTTATTAAAATGTTAGACAGTCACTAATCTTTTAGAATCAAAAATAAGCCTAAATTAATCTGAAATAACTGTGTATAATATCAATGGAATTAATTATTGAGTGAGATAAGCGTTTTATAGAACTTTTATTTGCTTAATCCAGGGTTTCTCAACCTTGGTACTCTTGACACTTTGTGCTAAGTAATTCTTTGTATCTAGGTAACTTAAGGCACATTGCAGATTGTTTAGCACCATTCCTGGCCTGTACCCATTAGTAGCATATCCCAAGTTGTGACAACCAAATATTTTTC